AAAAAAGACAGACAGACAGGGAGAAAGGGAAGGAGGGAAAGAAGGAAGAGAAGGGAAAAGAAAAAGGAAAGGAGAAGAGAAAAAAAAGAGTATGTGCCACATATGGGGGGGGGGTGGAAGCCAGTCAATAGAAAGTGTCCAAGGAAGATCTACTAAGTAATTACTTTAAATCAACTATTTGAAATGTATTAAAAGACCTAAAAGAAAAGCCAGGTACTGATAGCTCACACCTATAACCTTAGCTATTCAGGAGGCTGAGATTTGAGAATCACAATTAGAAGCCAGCCTGAGCAGCAAAGTCTGTGAAATTCTTATATCCAATAAAATAACTCAGAAGAAGCTACAAGTTGCACTGTGTCTCAAGTGATAGAGTACTAGCCTTGAGCAAAAGAAGCTCAAGGGCTGGGAATGTAGCTTAGTGGTACAGTGCTTGCCTTGCATGCATGAAGCACTGGGTTTGACTCCTCAGTACCACATAAACAGAAAAAGCCAGAAGAGGTGCTATAGTTTGAGTGGTAGAATACTAGCCTTGAGCAAAAAGAAGCTCAAGTACAGTGCCCAGGCCCTGAGTTCAAGCCCCAGGACTGGCAATGAAAAAAAAAAGAAGAAGAGAGAGCTATAGCTATACCACATTATGAACATACTATATACCACTGAATTTGAATATTTTAATTAATTTTGTATTACATGGACTTCCCTACATTTACTAAAAAGAAAACTGAATAAGAGTTTAACAAACTTATAAGACTCTAGCAAGAGTGCCAACACGCACATTTGGCCAAACTATCCTTCAAAACCAAAGGAGAATTGCAGCTAAAATAAAGAAGAAGCAGGGGCTGGGAAGGTGGCTCAGTGGTAGAGCGCTTGCCTTGCATGCATGAGGCCCTGGGTTCAATTTCTCAGCACCACATAAGCAGTTAAAGCCGGAAGTGGTGCTATAGCTCAAGTGGTAGGGCGCTAGCCTTGAGCTGAAGAGCTGAGATACAGAGCCCAGGCCCAGAGTTCAGGTCCCACAACTGACCAAAAAAAAAAAAAAGAAGAAGAAGGAGGAAAAGAAGGAGAAGAAGGATGAGGAGGGGGAGGAGGAAGAGGAGGAGGAGGAGGAGGAGGACAAGGAGGAGGAGGAGGATTCCTAGTTACTCAGAAGGCTGAAATCTGAGGATTGTGGCAGTGTGGACAAAAAAGGCTAGGGTAGACAAAAAAAGGCCATGAGATTCTTATCTCCTATTAAGCAGAAAAGGCTAGAAGTAGAGCTGTAGCTCAAATTACTACTCTACTGAGTGCCAGCCTTAAACAAAGAAAGCCAAGCAAGGACTGGGAATGTGGCTTAGAGATAGAGTGCTTGCCTAGCATGCATGAAGCCCTAGGATCAATTCCTTAGTATCACAAACAGAAAGAAAAAAAAAAAAACAAACACCAGAAGTAGCACTGAGGCTCAAGTGGTAGAATGCGAGCTTTAAGCAAAAGAAGACCAGGGACAGTGCCCAAGCCCTGAGTTCAAACCCCAGAACTGGCCAAAAAAAAAAAAAGACAAGCAAGAATATGAAGCTCTGAGTTCAGGTCCCAGCATTAAAAACAAAAGAGGCGAGGGGACTGCAAAATCCTATGTTGGCAAAGGTACAACTGCTTAGAAAGTTCTGATTTGGTTTCTAATCGAGCTACACTTACACTACCCCATAACCCACTTCTGTTCCTTATAGGTATTTATTTACTCAAATGATAATGAAGACATAAGGGAGTGGAACATATTTGTGGCTCAAACCTGTCATCTTAGTACTCAGCCTACTCAGGAGACTGACATTTGAAGATCCCAGTTCAAATACAGCCCAGGAAGAAAAGTCTGAGAGACAATTATCTCCAATTGGTCAGAGGTGGAGGTGTAGCTTACCAGCCTTGAGCAAAAAAACCAAACACCAAGCCCCTGGGTATTGGCAAGCCGCAGTACTGGGACCAAAAACATAGTGAAACAAGAAATGCAGACATAGGACTATGAAAATAGACAAGTATACATATCAGTTTTATTCACAATGACTCAAAACTAGAAAAATCCTAAATATACATTAGCATATGTGAAGAGTGTTTAAAATATATAAACAAGAGCCGGGCACTGGTGACTCATGCCTGTAATCCTAGCTACTCAGGAGCTGAGATCTGAGGATTGCAGTTCAAAGCCAGCCTGGGCAGGAAAGTCCATGAGAATCTTATCTCCAATTAACCACCAGATAACTGGAAGTGGCACTGTGGCTCAAGAGGCAGAGCACTTGGATTGAGCTGAAGAGTAGAGGGACAGCGTCCAGGCCGAGTTTAAGCCCCTTTTTAATTAAAAAGGGGGCTGGGAAGGTGGCTCAGGGGTAGAGTGCTTGCCTTGCATGCATGAGGCTTGGGTTCAATTCCTCAGCAACCACATAAGCAGAAAAAGTCGGAAGTGGCGCTGTGGCTAAAGTGGTAGAGCGCTAGCCTTGAGCTGAAGAGCTGAGGGACAGTGCTCAGAGTTCAGACCCCACAACCAACAAAATAAATTATATATAAACAAAAGAATACTCAAACAAAAAAAGAAACAAGTTATTGATATACCCAACAACATGTGCGAATCCCAAAATAAGGAGTCAGGTAGAAAAGATTATTTGTTTTTTCATATAAAATTCAAGAAAATGAGACCAGAGATGGAGGGATGAACTTCAATCAAGAGCAAGCAACATTCAGAGTTACCAGAAATTTTCTGTAACTTTATCATGATGGTGACTGTATCTATGAAAACTCAATGCACTATATATTTTGAATAGCATAGCTTATTACACATAAATGTCACATCAATGACATTTTTATTGGTTTTTGTTCTGTTTTTTGGTTGTGGGATTTGCACTCAGGGCCTGGGTACTATCCCTGGGCCTCTGTGCTCAAGGCTAGCACTCTACCACTCTGAGCCACACTTCTGGTTTTTGAGTGGTTAATTGGAGATAAGAGTCTCATGGGGACTTTTTTACCTGGGCTGTCTTCGAACCACGATCCTCAGATCTCAGCTTCCACAGTAGCTGGGATTACAGGTGTGAGCCACTGGAACCCAGCTTGTTTTGTTTTTTTAAGAAATAGTATAGAGTGATCACCCTTAGGGAGAAAAATGGAAGGGACTCACCTGGGTTTGTGACAATTATGATTTTGCAGTCAGGACTATGCTGTATTATGTTAGGAATGATTGACTTCATAATAGCCACATTACGCTGCACTAGGTCAAGGCGACTTTCTCCTTCCTTCTGCCTTGCCCCTGCTGTGACAATAACTAATTTGGAATTTTTTGATATGCTGTAATCTACAAAGGAAATGAAAGACAGTATTTGGATCAAGACTGCCATCATCACTGCACTTTAACTCTCTAAGAGTCTGTTATATGGCCAGGTACTATGGGCTCATGCTGAGCCTTGGCTCAGCAACAAAATACCCAACTGGCAAGAGTTCAAGGCCCCGAGTTCTGTACCCATTACCAAAAAAAAAAAAAAAAAGTCTTATGTATACTCTTGTTGTTTTACCCTCACGTCTGGCATTTTCAGATTGACTTTCCATGAGATATTTGTATAAACCGAAGAAGACCCTTGTCATTACAACCAGCCAGCATCAAACTTTGTAACTGACCACTCTCTCCTTCAGTACACATTCTCATTTGTCATCCCACTGTCAGGAAAGCTCTGTACTTTTTAGTAACACCCTAACTAATCAGAAGCTTAGAACCCTGAGAATTTCTGTCTGTTTTAGGATTCTAAAATCAGGATCCTATTTACTTCCAATTATTATAACGAACTGTATTTGAGAACAAATAAAAACAAGGTGTCTTTTGTTTTTTGTCAGTCATGGGCTTGAACTGAGGACCTGTGCTATCCCTGAGCTTTTTCACTCAAGGCTAGCATTCCATCACTTTGAGCCCACAGCACCAATTCCAGTTGTCTGGTGGTTAATTGGCGATAAGAATCTCAAAAGGGGGGGGGGAGGGAGGAGGCTGGGAAGGGATGTGAAGGGTAAACCAAAGGAGGAGGCTGCAATGCTTGGTAAGGAATGTACACATTATCCTGCCCATGTAATTGTAACCCCTCTGTACAGTATGTTCACAAATAAAATTAAATTAAATTAAAAAAAAAGAATCTCAAAAACTTGCCTGTCCAGGCTGGCTTTGAACAGAGATCCTCACATCTCAGCCTCCTGAATAGCTAGGATTACAGGAGTGAGCTACCAGCATCCAGACTGCTTAAGATTTTTTGGAAACTCAAGTTAAGAGCTACCTTGTTGCTTCTTAGCAGCCTTTACCCAGACTAAAGTGTCTTAAGTAACTGTATTTTATTTGCATGGTTCACAGAGATAGGGAAAAGAGAATTCTTTTTAGATTGTCTTTATATGAAGAATACAATTGAAGAATTTGTAAATGAAAGCAATCAGCAGCTGTCTCAAAATAGAACAAAGACTCAGAATACGGAAAATAAAGAAGACAACCAGCAAGAAGATGGGGGTAGGGATAGATAGGGTAGTGGGTAGGAGGTAATTTTGATCAAGGTATATTATATACACATACCAAAAGATGTTATGATGAAACATTATTTTGTACAATTAATACATATTAACAAAATAACTGAAATTGTTCTTTTAGGTACAAGAGAGACACGAATATAAAGGAACATAATTAAAATGTAGTGTTTCCTAGCTAGTCAGGAGGCTTGCAGTTTGAAGCCAGCCAGGCAGAAAAGTTCATGAGACTTTTATTTCCAATAAACTACTCAGAAGAAGCTGGAAGTAGAGTTGTGGCTCAAGTGGTAGATTCCTAGCCTTGATCACAAAGAGGCTCAGGGATAGCACCCCAACCCTGAGTTCAAGCCCCAGGATGAGCAAAAGAAAAAAATGTGTTGTGTGTGTGCTAGTACTGGGTCATGAATTCAGGACTGGGCATTACCCTTTAACTTTTTTGCTCAAGGCTAGTGCACTCTACCACTTGAGCTATACCCTCTACTTCTGGCATTTGGGAGGTGAATTGGTTAATTAAGACCTTTACAAACTTTCCTGTTGTGGGTTTGTCTGCCCAGGCTGGCTTTGATTCACAATCTTCAGATCTGTTTCCTGAGTAGCTACAATTACAGGCATGAGTCACTAGCACCCAATTAAAAATAATAAAAAATGTAATAGGGTTTATGATAAAAATTACTTCATGAGAGTCTTTAAATTTCTCAATACTTCAGCAAAAAAAAATTAAACTTTAAGAAACACACTGCAAAACTCCAATTAGCTGAGCCATACTTAAAGGTCTTACCTTATGAGAAAAATCACTACATTTCTAAATACATTATATACATGTATATGTCAATATAAAATGTATATACTGACTAGTATTTTTAAATGAGGTAACCACCTCCAGTGTCCATCATGTCAGGTAAGAGGATGTCAGTAGTGGGGCTTGAACTCTGGGCCTGGGCGCTGTCCCTGACCTCTTCAGCTCAAGGCAACTGCTCTACCACTTGAGCCACAATGCCACTTCTAGTTTTCTGGTGGTTAACTGGAGATAAGAGTTTCACAGAGGGCTGGGAAGGTGGCTCAGTGGTAGAGTGCTTGCCTTGCATGCTCGAGGCCCTGGGTTCGATTCCTCAGCACCACATAAGCAAAAAGAAAAAAAGCCGGAAGTGGCGCTGTGGCTCAAGTGGTAGAGCGCTAGCCTTGAGCTGAAGAGCTGAGGGACAGCGCCCAGGCCCAGAGTTCAGGCCCCACAACCGGACTAAAAAAATAAATAAATAAAGAGTTTCACAGACTTTCTTCCCCTGTTTGGCTTTGAACCAATATCCTCAGATCTCAGCCTTCTAAGTAGCTAGGATTACAGGCATGAGCCACAGGTGCCCAGCAGGTAAGAGGATTTTCTTTTTCTTTTTCTTTTTTTTGTCGGTCATGAGGCTTGAACCCTGGGCTTGGGCACTATCCCTCAGCTCTTCAACTCAAGGCAAGCACTTTAACCACTTGAGCTACTGCACCACTTCCAGTTTTCTAGTGGTTTATTGGAGATAAGAGTCTCAGAGACTTGGGCTGGGAAGGTGGCTCAGTGGTAGAGTGCTTGCCTTGCATGCCTGAGGCCCTGGGTTTGATTACTCAGCACCACATAAGCAAAAGGAAAAAAGCCGGAAGTGATGCTGTGGTTCAAGCAGCAGTAGAGTGCTTGCCTTGAGCTGAAGAGTGAAAGGACAGCACCCAAGCCCAGAGTTCAAGCCCCACGACTGACAAAAAAAGAAAAGAAAAGATTTATAGAAACTGGGCACTGGTCACTCACACTCATAATCTAATCCTAGCTACAAGAGGCTACTGAAGAGGTTCAAGGTTTGAAACCAGCCTGAGCAGAAAAGGACAGCACATGAGATTCTTTTGTTGTTGTTGTTGGTTGTGGGGCTTGAACTCTGAGCCTAGGCGCTGTCCCTCAGCTCTTCAGCTCAAGGCAAGCATTCTACCACTCTGAGCCACAGCACCACTTCCAGTTTTCTGGTGGTTAATTGGAGATGAGTCTCACTTTCTTGTCTGGGCTGGCTTTGAACATTTATCCAGATCTCAGCCTCCTGAGTAGTTAGTATTACAGGTGTGAGCCACCAGCACCCAGCTGTCACATGAGATTCTTATCTCCAATTAACCAGCAAAAAGCTGGAAGTGGAGCTCTGGCTCACATGTTAAGAGTGCCAGCCTTGAACAGAAAAAGCCAAGTGAGAATACAGAACTCTGAGTTCATGCCCAATATTTATGTCAGTAAGAAGCAAATGCATAGAAAAAGGAAAGTAGACAGGATTTATACTTTTCCATATTTTTCAAATTTTCTCCAATTATAATAAAAAGGTTTTTAACAGAGTCTGGCTGGGCACTGGTGGCTCACATCTCTAATCCTAGCTACTCAGGAGGCTGAAATCTGAGGAATATGGTTCAAAGCCAAACAGAATAGTAAAATCTATGAGACTCTTATCTCTAATTAAAGACACACACACACACACACAAAGCTGGAAGTGGAACTGTGGCTCAAGTGGTAGAGTGCTAGCCTTGAACAAAATAAAGGACAGCACCCAGGCCCTAACTTCAAGCCTCAGAACCAGCCTCCCCCCAAAAAGTCTGTACATTGTGAGGGGCCGGTGGCTTAGACCTGTAATCCTAGCTACTCAGGAGGCTGAGATCTGAGGATCGTGGTTCAAAGCCAGCCACAGCAGGAAGGTCCATGAGACTCTTATCTCCAATAAAACCACCAGAAAACTAGAAGTGGCGCTGTGGCTCAGAGTGCCTTGAGCTGAAGAGCTGAGGGACAGCGCCCAGGCCCAGAGTTCACACCCCATGACCCACCAAAAAAAAAAAAAAAGTCTGTATATGTCTTAATAACATAATGATAATTTAAATCTTACATTTATTGATGTCAGTTTAATAAAATTCACTATTCTTTTAAAAGTTCTGAAAGTAACTATAAAACTAAAATTACCTTTTCCACCAACAATCTTTGAAGTAGTAAGGAAAATACTGCCATGCAGAAGATCCAGTGTTTCTCCCCTCAATTTGTCTGCTTCAGCATCAACAAGGGCAAGTTCATCAACCAATTCCTAAAACACATGAAAGTTCTGAATAAAATGTTCCTACTCTTTTTAAATTTAATTCACTTTATTGTTATTATAAACACGATGTACAGAGGGGTTACAATTACATGAGTCAGGTAATGAGTACATTTCTTTCCTACAGTGTCTTCTATTCCCTCACTCTCTCCCTATCCCTCTCCACCTAAGTTTTAAAAGAATGAGAAAAATTTTGAATCCTAGCTACCCAGGAGGCTGAGATCTGAGGATCATGGTTCAAAGCCAGCTGGGTCCTGCCCATGAGACCCATCTCCTGCACCACCAGAATATCGCAAGTGGTACTGTGGCTCAAAGTGGTAGAGCCCTTGCTTTGAGGGAAAGAGCTCTGGGACAGAGCTCAGGCCCTGAGTTCCAGCTCCATGACCGAGGAGAGACTGACTGCCCAACAACTAAGTCAAGGGAGGACATCTACACCCACATATACAGAGACCGTGTCTTGTTCTGTCTGAACTGGACACAGTATTACTTGAAGTCAGTCTACTCAGACATTTTCCAATTACACAAATATATAAACTCTGCTTACTGTAATTTTGTTTTGCTTTTCTTTTTTCTTTTTTTTTGTTTTGGGACAGAGTCTTACAATGTAGTTTGGGCTGGACAGAACTTGATCTCCTGTATCAGCGTCCTGACTGCTGGCATGTGTCCGATTGTACATTGATCCTCCTACACACACTTCTGGCTACAGGTGTGCGCTGCTGCCTCGAATGTTCCTTAAGTCGGATCAAGATTCAACGGATGAGAGGAAACTTGTTTGCTGTGAAGGCCTAAATCGTGCAACCCTGAATCCAACACCTTTAAGACCCAAAAGTGCTTACTGCATTTGCAGGCCCAGGCTGGGTTCATCATTTACCTTCATCAAGATACAAATAGCACAGGCCATGCCTACAGAACCAGCTCCAACAATGGTGATCTTACAATTGGGGATGTTATCTTCTGCAGCTACCTTGGAAATAAGCTGCTCTTTGATAGTTGTCATTTTGGGGCCCTGCTAAGAAAAATGCCGGGTTTTGAGTGAAAACAACCTCTCCTGGCAGTTAGGAAGTGGTCACCACACTGAACATCTAAGGAAGCCAAGAGGGCCTGAGTTTGTAGGATGGCCGGGACCAAGGGTGGAGGGAACCCAAAGAGATCCAACTGGCTAAAGCATGTGGGGCTAAAACAGGCTTCTGCCTATCCGTGCAAGGGCTCTTAGTTTGTCCACCCCAGCCCCAGCTGGTTTTCACCCAGCACCAGATGCTCACAAATGATCTGTTTACCGCCACTCAGAAGTCCCCAAAGCGCCACCCACTGTCCCCTAAAGAAGGAAAACTGAAGAACACCGAGAAAAGAGCCCAACTGCAGCGAAGCCCATTGAACGTTACACACCCAGGAAGCAACGGCAAACTGACCCACCCCCGCGCTCACGCACGCCCCTTACGTCAGCACGCAGGCATCGCCCCCCCCCCGCCGCCGAGCGCATGCGCGTTGGGCAACATCGGGCAAAGAGAGATGGGTTTGCTGAGGCTGCGGCAGCTGGCCGAATCCTGCGGGGAGAGCCTAGCGAAGCGCATGGATCAGACAGGCCTAATTTGCAACTTTCTGAAAAGGCGTGCTGCGTGACCCTAAGTCCTCCAAAATGAAAGGAATTTGAGTAAAAGGTAGTCTTGGGAATGATTATCCTTTTTTTTTTTTTTGGTCAGTCGTGAGACTTGAACTCAGGGCCTGGGCTCTGTCCCTGAGCTCATTTGCTCAAGGCTAGCTCTCTACCACTTTGAGCCACAGCGCCACTTCCCTTTTCTGTTAGTTAATTGGAGATAAGAGTCTCCTGGATTTTCCTGCCCCAAGTGGCTGATTATCCCTTTTGATCACGACCTCTCCAACACATCTACTTACAGGCAATATAAGAGAAAGATCTGAGGATCTCAGTTTGAAACCAACCCTGGCAGGATAGACTGTGAGACTCTCATATTCAATTCAAAAAGCCAGAAGCAGAACTATGGCTCAAGTGGTAGAGAGCTAGTCTTAAGGCCGGGTGCTGGTGGCTCATGCCTGTAATCCTAGCTACTCAGGAGGCTGAGATCTGAGGATCGCGGTTCAAAGCCAGCCTGAGCAGGAAAGACAGTGAGACTCCTATCTCTAATAAACCACCAGAAAACCGGAAGTGGTACTGTAGCTCAAGTGGTAGAGTGCTCCCTTGAGCTGTAGAACTGAGGGACAGCGCCCAGGCCCAGAGTTCAAACCCCACGACCTACAAAAAAAAAAAAAAAAAAGCTAGTCTTAAGTGGAAAAAGCCAAGCCAATGCAGAGGGCCGAGTTCAAACCCCACGACCGATAAGAAAAATTTTGTAACTTCAAGAGCAGGAGCTGGAATCACCTTTAAATATCCCTTGAAAGCCAGATAGCAGGGCTGGGAAGGTGGCTCAGTGGTAGAGCGCTTGCCTTGCATGCTTGAGGCCCTGGGTTCGATTCCTCACCACCACATAAGCAAAAAGAAAAAAAGCTGGAAGTGGCGCTGTGGCTCAAGTGGTAGAGCGCTAGCCTTGAGCTGAAGAGCTGAGGGACAGTGCCC